ATTAATCAACCCTAAAAATGTTTTCTATTAGAGTCTACTGACTCTTTGTTGATAATACTTTTTTTAGCAAAAAATGATAAGTGTCAATTTACAATTTATTTAACCTAAATTTAAATTGAATTTCAATTTAAACTGATTTAAAATTTTAAAAATAAAACTTTTTGAGGGCGAAAGATTTGAATTTTAATTAAGTTTAAATTTAAATTTTTTTTTTGAATCTAATAAATTGTTTTAATCTGATTTAGTCATCGATATTTGGAAAATACATGGCTTAATCAGTAATACATGAGAAGTAAAAGGGAAATCTAGTATTTAAGTTCAGCATATGCTCATAAACATGAAAATTTCTGAACAAATCATACATAATTTCTGAACTTCAATCTTCCATATAATAAAGATGCTCAAACACGCAAATTTATTAGCACACTTCGTAGAGGAAACACTATTTTTGTTTCAAGAAAACACGAAAAAAAAGTTTGACTTGTAACACCTTCAATAAAATCAAAATCAATTTGAATCAGCTTTTCCTAAAATTTCCCCACTTTAAATTCAAAACATTTAAGTTTAACTTTTCATTTAAAAAATTTATTTTTTTTAAATTTAAATTTTCAAAAATTAAGTTTTTGATTTAATATTTTTTTAAAATTAAAATGTGCTACTTCTAAATAATCATATCTTAAGAACACTCTAGTATTATAAAATTTGATACGATTATTTTTATTGAATGTTCGCAGCACCGAGAATCTAAAAGCCATTTCGAAAATTTTCAAAACCACTTCATCCACTGATCGAGAAGTTTTGCAAATCATAGAAAATCGTCGCAAAAAATACTGAATAAGTCATACACTTCAAGTAGCAGCGAATTTTCCCTTCGTTTCTTGTTCGTTTTTCTTAGCTGAAGATTTCTTCAAAAGTTGTCTCCTGAAAGAACTTGAATCTCATTGAGTAGCAAAATAGTTGCACTTTAACATAAGGATTTTGTAAGCAATTTTTTTAGAACTAAATTATTTGTTCCTTCCAAGTGCATCTTCTATCCATCATTTAAATCTAATAATTTTTTTAGTAGAGAATACATTTACGTGATTCATTAAATAATATACTAAAGTAAATCACTTAATTCAATTAATGTATCTTGTCGTTTATATGCGACGAAGTGATCGCGACGAATTGATCGCGACGAATTGTCGTGCGACGAATTGATCGTGCGACGAATTGTTCGCGACGAATTGGACGCGACGAATTGTCGTGCGACGAATTGTACGGTCACCAGTGAAAGTGACGGTAAATCTGCATGAAATAGAGTTAACTATGGCACAGGCAACAAAAATATGATCTAAATGACCACGAAGATACTCTAATTGGTCACAAACACGATCCAATTAACCATTGGTATCACACAAATATGGTTCGAATGATGATAGATAAGGTTCAACAGACTACAGATACGATTGTGTCCAGCATACTTGTTGTCAGATGGGCCATACATGTGACCACGTGTACCATATTTGTGGCCATTTATGCCATTTCTTGCTCGTTCGGAATACATCCATGATCTCTCAGACCTTGTCAGTAGTCATTGGGACCATAGTTACCATGTGGTTACTGTTTTACAGAGAGACTGACGGACAGAGGTGAATTTTCGGTTCTAGACCATAACCTCAGTCTACGACCAAGCGAATCGAATCTCGATGAGCGCTACTTGTTAATAATTAAGTACATAGATGTTCATATATAGCTTGAGATTTAGCAAATAATTGATTTAATCTTTCTGAGTGCACATAGCCATGTGGCTATGTGCACCTAGGTGTACATAGTCGCTTCCATATTGATAATAGAGATGTATGTTTCTTCTTTTTTTCGTTTTTCGATTTGCTTGGACATATAGACTTTTCTGTACATCTATGTGGATAATATAGATGACTATTTGTTCGTTTTTTTGTTTATTTTATGCTTGCATATATAGTCTTTTGTATATCTTTGTGTTAATAATATAGATGACTATTTCATCGTTGTTTTTTCCTTTTTTTTTTATATGGTTGGACATATAGAGGTTTTTATGTCTATATGTATATGGTATTGATGTGTATTGATTCGTTTGTGGTTTTGTTATTTTCGCAATGAGTTCTATATTAGAATTTTCTGGAAGGTACATGTTTTGTTGTTGAAGAAGTGTTTTTTCTTTTACCATGATTTGTTTTTTTCAGAAGCGGTTGGTAGAAGATTCAAAATTGATTCTCTTCGCTTTAATGATTTCTTTCGGATATGTCTTCGTCGTACTTTGGCGCAACTGTCGGTCGACACTCATCATATACTCAGGCGATCTATGAACAATATCGGTGGCCATATTGCTGCTGGTTGAACATCTGGTGTACTTATTGCCGGTAATACTGAATCAGCACGTGGCATATCATTGCTTCTTGGTGTTCATTCGCGGGACTCGGGTGAAAATGCAAACATTCTCGATTGAAAGGTAATATTTTTTGAAAGAGTCAGGTGATGTTTTTCAGAAGCAATCAGAATTATGAAAAATTTTGGTTTTTCATTTAGATTATATGTTATAGTTGGCTTTTGTTTGTGATTATATTTATGTATTGGTGCTATTTTTTGAAATTTTTGGATTGCATTCTTTTACTGTAAATATGTTTTTAAATGTCGTTAAGCTATTTTCAATTTTTATTAGAGTTCTTTTCTGTATGAAAGATATTGGTTTATGCTTTTTGGATTTTTTGCTTTTTTTCTGTTCTATTTATCGTTGTTATTGTAATTAGAATAGTGTGTGCTAACTGCTCCTAAGATAGAGATGTTGTTGTTATCATTTAGGAGATTTATGAAGGAAGAGAACTTGACTTCTTTAATATTTTTCGTAAATTATTGTTATTGTTGTATTCATCGTTTGTAGATCGGAAATATCTTTTTTCTATTATCTTTGCGTGTTGCTATTGTTTTATTGATTTTACTGTTTAACAGTGACTTCCAGATTATGTACAGATGAATATCTTTACAAATAAAAATTTTCTTTAAGATGTGAAGTCAATTTTAATTGTATTTGAGGTGTCAAGATTCAAATATATCAATACAACGTAGCTCAAATAAATCTGTTGTAATCTTACTGTATGGTCTTATATGATCATAGAATATCGTATTGTTGGTTTATATACGGACCTTAGTGTAAGAACTGACGTAAGATTTCATGAACTATGATTTTTCGTAGGATTTTTCATATGATCTGATATGATCATGTACAATATTGGACTTAGATATGGTACGATCATACAAGAATCTATGATTGATCTTACTATCCGATTTCTCGGCCTGGGTAGTTTCCTCCCAGAACAAACAATCATATTGTAAGATCTGACAAGATCATGGATCTGATCTTATATGATCTTGTACGATCATACGAAAGTCATACAAAAAATCGTAGTCTCTGAGATCTTAGATCAATTCGTACAATCAGATTCTTGAAAGATCTTATTAATGTGTGAGATCTTTCAAGAATCTGATTGTACGAATTGATCTAAGATCTCAGAGACTACGTTTTTTTGTCAGATTCTTGTAGGATTTCGCCCATATTCCAAGATCTTGTATGCATTTCATAAGGTCTTGTGTCAGATTTTTCGACCTGGGCTCACACAAAATATAACACGTGAAATCATACAGGGTCAGATAGGATCAAAGCAGATCTGCCTTATGATCTACCGTACGTTTCTTTGTTTTTGGATTTTATCTGATCTGATAAGATATAATACGTGTTATCAACTCAGTTGTTATACACCCAGGTCGAAAAGTCAGACGTCAGATCCAACAAGATCTAATCAGATCTTATGCATACAAGATTTTTTATATGATCTTGACATAAAATCCAGCAAGCACTTATGGGTTAATTTACTGCAAGATCTCATCAGATTCTGAATGAAAGTATCAAGCAAATATCTTGCAAGATTCATAGATTAAGAAACGTATAATGACCGACTTTATAACACATGTCAGATCTTATCAGATCACATAAGATTTAAAAATCAAGAAGCATACGGTAGACGTTAAGACAGATCCTCTCTGATCTTTTCTGATCATGTATGATCTGACGTGCTCTTTTTTTTATTCGAAAATTCATAATCAATCTATTCTATCATGAATAAATATTGATAAAAAGATTGTGATGAATGGACTAATATTTGTTATTTGAATTAGTAAAATGGTTTTTGAAGTCATAAATAAATGTTTATCAGCGTAAGTTGATGAAAGCCACAATATATCTTTGAAATTTGGGCAGAACTGGGAATTTTTCTCTGAAATGTATTTGTATTGGAACAATGGAGGTTATAGAATAGCGCCCTCTTTAATAAAACTTTCCACATTTTTTTCTGTGAATTACCGTTTCGACAAATAGATTAAAAATCGTCTTTATTCCGCATAAAAAATGACAAAGTATCTGTCTTTGTAGGTAAATGCAAAAGATAGAACTTTATCAAAAAAACTCTGCACATATACTAGTAATGTATAATTCCTCAATATCGTTCGATGGATTGCGGTTTGCGAATAATATTACTTTGTTGTGGTTAACAATGATATAATTACTGACAGTCTAGTGGAATCAATATAATATTTGTTACTTTGCTCAGAGTTGAACTTGAGGCTAGCTAACGTCATAAAAATCTAGCGCTTAGGGGAAGTAAGATTGACGCCTCTTGATCTTCTTCACATCTTTTCTAAATTTTTGTGAATTGAGTAATAATGTGTGAAAAAATATGCGATGTACATTTTTTTCAGAGATATGAGGAGATAGAACTAGAGCTGCTTTATTGCATTCAAGAAATGTAAAAGACTATGCATTACAAAAATTGTATATTTGTTTTTTCTTTTCAGATTTTTTGTGGTAATAAATACTAAATAATACTTTCCTGTTTATACTTGACAGCAGTTTTTTTTTCACGTAGTTTGTAGCTGGTTATTCTCAAATGAATTCCCCTTTGTTTTCTGTCAATGATGTTGCTGCGCAAGCACGAATAAATCGAGAAAGAAGAAGAAAAAAACGTCGTGATACTTATAAAAATTATAAACATTTATCAAATAATATTAAACCTTTCAAAAAAAGATTTAAATCACATACAAAAAGAATAATAACACAACAACTTTCAACCGATCATATGTATTCGGAACTAACACATCATTCGTCTTTTACAAAATCATCGATACCTGGTGAAGAAGTTCTACAAGACGTTAGTTTACAAGAAGAAATAAATGAACATGATATATTTAAGCTAAATTTGAATTTTTCGTCGCAAGAAGAATCGGTTACTCAATCCGATGATGAATTTAATTTTGATCAAAATAGTCCGTTTTCATCGACAAATGATGAGGAATTAGGTATTATGATTTTGCTTCTCGTTTATTAAAATTCTTTATATTTTCTACTAATAGTTGATAGTGTTGCAAAAAGTTTCGGAACTTCTGCATAATAAAATCGTAGAATATCTGAAACGCAGGTTATTTGATTTTGAATCTTGAGCAACTCTTCTAAATGATACCATTATCGTTATAGTTTTATATGTAAAGTTAATTGAGTTCTATATTATATTAAATTAAATCGAGTAAATGTTGTTATATCTACTCAAGTTGCATTAACATACAGACACATGCTATTGATATGAACAGCAGAAAATTTCGTCTTTTCTTCTTCTGTTGAAATTAAGAGATGCTGGTGGTTTGCTAGAAACTAATAAGGAGAGACGGCATTTCTACTCAATTTCGGTCATATATTTAATATATTTTTTTTGAAAAAAGGCTATATGCTAATATAAAGTTAGAAGATTTCAATTCGTGCGTTTTTGAATCTCATGTTTTCCATGTATGAAAAAAGGTTGTCAAAATAAAGATGCTTCTGTCAATCGAATACCTGCTTAGGTTTATCGGCTCAATGTTTTCCAAACGCTACTCAAATATAATTAAAATATCAAAGTTTACCATATGAAAAACTAGAACACTAGCTATTTCTTACCTCTAAAACTCGGTCAAGAAGGATTTTTATTCGAACTTTTCTTTTTCTTTTTTAGACTTCATTCCCATGAATGATGAAGATCAAGAGAGTACCTCACTTGGTGAAGCTGAACGTGTGTTACATCCATATACTCATGTATCAATTAATAGTACTATGATCGATTTTTTAAAGCTAATTCGTCAATCTCAAATCAGCAAAAAAGAGACTAAACAATTTTTGTTATTCATAAAATCGATATTACCATTCCCTAACCAAATGCCGAAAAATATAAACACATTACTAAAACAAGTTAATATGACTGATTATTTTAAGAAAAAGACAATTTGTGTTCTTTGCAAAAAAGAACTACAGAATAACCACTTCACATGTGATAAATGCACTCAAAGTGAAAAAAAATATATTGCTCATATTCTCGACACAGATATATGTACTTTATTATCAAATATTATTTTTCGACTTGCATCAAGTATTGAGCAATATAAAGAAGTAATCTTAAACCCTAATTCACAAACAATATATGATATACCATTTGCAGAACTTTATCAATATTTATTAAAAAAATATCCGAATGAGAACTTATTATCATTGCTTCTTCATGTGGATGGTATTAGTTTAGTAAAATCCACAAAACTAAAGTTGTGGATATGTAGTGCTAGCATTGTTGAACTTCCACCTGATCTACGAAGTCGACGGTCCAACATGTTTTTATTATCGATGTATGTTGGTTACTCAGAACCGGATGTAACAACGTGGTTAAAATCATGTTTTCTCACTCTTAAAGAGCTAAAAAGATCAGGTATTCCTAAAGTTTTACGATCTTTTAAAAATATTTTACGAAATAATCTTTGTTGTTTTTCTTCCGTTAGCTTTTCACGTTGAAGGTGTTCAACAATCTTATAACATAAAAGTTTATGGTTGTATTGGCGATTGTCCTGCCCTCAAAATCATGACAAATATAATTGGACATAACGGCTATTATTCGTGCTTTTATTGTCACATTAAAGGCATACATATTCGTAAACCACGTAAAAGACAATATCCCTACTCGTCAACAATCAATTACCGCACAGTAAATTCGTTTTACATTAATTCCAGAGAAGCTCAATTGAACAACAAAAATATTTTTGGACATCTTGGGATATCGATATTAAATGAAGTACTTGATATTTCATTACCACATGGCATAGTCATAGACTATGCTCATGTTTCGTTGTTAAGACATTTTCGAGATGTCACTCGAACTGTTGTNACTCTTTCTTTCAAAGTGAGAAAAAAAGAAGTACAAACTCCGACCATTCATGGGACACTTGTTAGCTTTGAAAGTTGGGTACTTTTTATGTGTTCGATAATCTTCGTTTAATTTTTTCTCTTAACTTTCTTCAGGAATAGGTTTGATTACTGTTTTGTAGAGAATTTCACGGCGCATCTTTTGGAAAAACAATCAGCTCTATAGGACACAAAGAAAAAAAAGTTATAGCCAAAACATTGAGAGGGACATTTATTCTGGGCCACCCGTTATAATCGATATATTTTCTCTATTCTATTTATAAGATGCGTTTTGATTTAAAGAATCTGATCGATTTTAATAAAAATCTATTTCATATGATTACGATTTTTTAAGATGATCCATAAAACAATAATAAATATTATATAATCTTTTAAGATTTCGTGTGATATATTATTGTTGTGTGTGTGTGTGTGTGTGTATTAAGCATTTGCGTGTCATCATCATTTTAATCGTATAAATTGTTGTGTTATTCTATTAATTTTCAAATAAATATGTCAACTAGTAGAAAAAAATCTGAATGAAATAAATAAAATATTTTATCTAATAATAATAATAATAATAATAATAATAATAAATGTTATTTTGATAATGATTTATTTAATAAAATAATAAATCGAATATAATTAAGATAAATCTTATAATAGATATATAAATATTCTAAAATAAAATAAAAAAAAAAAATTTTTTTTCTCTTTGTTAATGTTAGGTATGATCTATGATGCATTAAGCAAATATTAATTTATACTGCAATTATCATTTTATAAGGATAGATGATATAAAAAATCATCGAGACACAGACTGAGAAAAATCTATTTTATTAATAGGAAATAAATATCTATCTATAATATAATATAATATATAATGTTTTTATCGAATATGTTTATCATAAAAACATAAGAAGATTTAAATAAAAATTTTATTTGAATAGAAAAAAATAAAATGTTATATTTAAAATCTATTTTTCTAATTTGTTTTTCGTTTTTTTTTCTGATTTCTGAATGATTAAATATCAATATGAAATATGTAAATAGATTGATTAACATAAATATATTATTCTATTTGATCAATATAAATAAAATTTCAATGTCGAATCGATTTAATAAATATACTCATTTGACTTAATAATACTTTTCATTTTTAACATTAAACACAAAATAATAAATAAACATTTAATCATTTATAATATATATATATATATATATAATATTATTGAGAATTTTTAAATGAATTTACATTTATTGAATATAAATTTAATTTGAATATAAATGTTTACAGTTTTATTTAAATAATAATATAATATAATACAATATAATGAAAAGAATATTTTAATTTCAATTGAATAATAAAAGAAAATTATTTTAATTAGAAATATTTTCAAATTGATTCATTAAAAGAATATTTTTAATAAAAAATTATTTTATTTAAAGATTAATCATCTAACCGCATTTTTATGTTTATCTTAATCAATCAATATTAAATCTTTTTTTTTGTAATTGTCACATTTTAAAGTTAAATTTAATGATAATTTCTTCCGAATAATGTTTAACTTTTTGTTAAAATAAATATTAACAAATAAAGAATTACTTCAATATTCTTACTCTTATTTGCCACTTAATGAAGATTTTCTCTCTCTCTCTCTCTCTCTTTTTTTTTTCCACTGAGCAAAACAAAAAGTCAAATGACTAATCATAACGGAAATATAGAAAAACTTATCAATGATAACACACATATTTATATTTGTTAATAAACACAAAGTTGCCTAAATTGTATGATTATAAAGATGCAAATCTAGTCATTTGATTTTATTATAAATCGTATCGATTATCATATTATCTATTGATAAAACATGCAACATTAACAGTCATTTTATATATTATATTAGTTTAAATATTCTTATGAATTTTGAAGTTTTTTTTTTTTTTTTATCATGATCGATTTATTATTTAAATAATAAATTATATTGATTTGTTTAGATTTATTTTTGATATTAAATATAACGATAACATATTTATCATAAATACCTTTTCTAGTTAACTATATGTTTTTATTTTTGTTTTTTGTTTTTGTTTATCATAGTTTCTCTCTTTTGACTTAACCAAAACGTCTTCTAATGATGCAGAAACTAAAAACGAGACTAAACTCTTAATTACTATTCGAATAAAACCAATCGAGAATATTGAAAATAGTAGAATGATTTTTTTCTCTTCTCATCAGCTTCTTTTTTCCGTCTCATTATTTTTTCTATATATAAAACGAAGTTAACGACTATTGCATTATTAAAATCGCGCCGTGTGAGGATGTTTGTTAGCAGTTTTACTAAAAAAAAAATAGACTGATGTGCCACTTTTAATTAGATGAGAATACAAAGAAAATTCAGATAATGAGACAGGAGACGACATAGAGAGTGAAAAGATCCCAATTTTATCTTCACTATATATATATATATAGAAATAATTTCAGTGCAATAGGACGAATAGACATTTATCGAGAAATTTTTAATTAAATACCCAACAAAAATTTATTGACGGTAGGTGACAACTAACTGTTAACTATCAACTAGAACAGTACATTACATTGTTGTTCTTCAGAATAGACAATAACGATAAAGAAAAGTATTTGTTTGCATGTCAATCAAGCTATTTGTATATTTACGGCCAACTATTTGAACAAATATAAAATTTTTTACTCTTTTATATAAAAACACTTCATTTAAATAAGAACGTTGAGGGTTAAAAGAGTAATTAATGACGAATATGTCTGACAACACTAAATTATTTTAGATTTTTCAAGATTTATCTTAAAGCGTCAATGAAAATGTTCAAATCACATTGCACATTCATGGTTTTACTCTTAATAGTGGCTATTTTATGTTCAAATAACGTTGAAAGTCGAATTGTTCATGGAGTTAGTATTTTTGTTTTGTTTTTGTTTTTGTTTTTAATTAGTCAAATGCTAATAGTAATAGTTATAGTTATTATTATATATATTGTATTATTATATTTAGAATGTTGAAGGTATTCCATTATCTCAATATGATTATCTTCGGTTTGATCTTGGAAAAATGACAAATGAAAATAGCAATGAAGATCAACAAGAAAATCATGAAGAATATATTCATACAAAACGAAAAAGTGAACTATTATCATCTTTATATGGTTTACCATATGCTCTTGTCGGTAAAAGAAATGAAAAATAAATATTTATATTCAATTCAATATCGATTATATATTGGTCACTTTTTCTTTTGCTTTTGCTTTTTCTCTTTATCCTATTTTGTGCATGTTTAATAGCAATTTAAAAAAAAAGTCATCTTTTTAAAATATTTAATAAATGAATTTTATCGTCAAGAACAAACAAACAAACAGATAAATAAATAAATATTATTATTGTTCATATAATTTTCTTCAATAGATAATTGACATTATAATACATATACATATTTATCTTATCAAATTAAAACTAAAAAAAAACAAAATAAATAAGAAGAATTTCGAATTATATATTTATTAAATATGATGAATTATTTGATTTGCACATAATTTCAATTATCTTGATAAAACATCATATACTGATACATATATATTCTTTATGAATTCTATGTGCCTCCATAAGAAAAAGATCGACCTTGTTTCATCGAAATTCTATTTATAATAATTAATTAATTTATAAATAATATTGGGTTTAGTTATGTTAATAACAATAATCATTTTCATCTGTTTTACATTTAATTTCAATCGAATAATTAACTAAGTTATCAGATAGATTACAAATATAGAAATATTGATCATTTTACGTTTTATTGACTAATCTTTTATTAAAGTTTTCTTGAATAAAATAAAAACAAAAAAAGAAGTTGCACTTTCTCTATGAAGGTTTTTAACAATAGATGAATAATGATTATCTTCTATTTTAAAAAAATCAATGATTTTAATAATAAAATAATAAAGAAAAAAAAAGTTTATACCATCTAGATAATTATGTTTATGATCATTAAATTGATTTATATCATATTTACAAAAACGAACAGCATGAGACAAAAAATCTTTTTTTCTCAACGTACCTTTATTAATGATTAATCATAGACTTATCAAAAAACAAACAAACTAGCAAACAGAAAATAAACCCAACGTACCCAAAAATAATCTCCATTGACATCATTATTTCCTATTCCATACTGACTTCCTTCAGATCCAAAACTATTGTTACCATGTGTCTTTTTTCCTAAGAAACATCAATGTTTTAAAAGAATGATTATAATTAACATATGATTAAGAATATTTTCAGTAAAAATATATATAAATTCACTTATATCTAACAGACTAATCAAATAATATAATATTACTTTAAGAAAATATACATCAGCTTATATTGAACAATTATTTTAAGATAACATTAACCTCCGATTGATCATTTCACCTTTCGTATAATTAACTGTTCGAATAGATTCACCTAATTGATGATCATTATTACCTAATATTCGACTATCTTATAATAATAAATTTTCATTATTCAACAAAGAAAACATGATAGATTTATTTTGTTTTGTTTCTTAAGAGAGCATCCATGAGACCATCGAGCATCGTGCTAGATATCGAAGCACTCGATAAAATTTCGTTTTTTGATTTGATATTCTCATCTTGTTCAACATCATCTAAAACCTCTAAATCCAAATTTTTAGAGCATTTAGTTGAGCTGGTGAAAAATTAGCTCAATTTTACTGTTGAACGCTCACGATGATATTTTTCAAATATCATCAAAAATCGTTCGTATAAAGTGGAGATTTTTTGGATGACATCAAATTAATGAAATTTTTCGTGTAATATACCAAAAGATAGAGCATCGAAATGTAAACAAAATTACTTATTTACAAATTATATTTCAATCTGCTGATCGAGAGTTATTTCTCAAATACTGTCTAAGATTGACAATTTTTTGAGTAAAAAATGTGTCAACTATTTTCAATATATCAGCTGCCATTCAGTCATTCTATGATTCCCCAGACTGAATTTCACATATGTTTTAATTCTAAGTATTTATTTATTCAGTTTTTTATTTTATTTTTTGGTGTGAATTTGCTACATTGTTGATAGCATCGGATGATGCTGACATGCTTATGCATGACTCATTTAAAGACGTAAACAGTGAAAATTCGAATATTGTTTTAGACGGAAATTTTCGTCATATAATGAGTAGTATTTCAGAAGCATATACCAATACTGAATCGTGGCAATCGAGACGAGAGATTCTCTCGATCGTTGCACCGAAAATATCGTTAAATCTTATGCAGCTGTTCATAACAGGTTTAACTGGTTACACATTTTCTGCAGTGCGCAAACGCGCTGCAAAATATGGTGTCAGTTCAAAAATAGACATAAAACCAAGGTTGTACAACGGTTTGATGATAATCAAATCGCCCACTTTGTTGATTTTATTATTTCACCTCACGTGTGTACAGATTTACCCTTTGGTGAAAAAGTCTTAAAGTTATCATCTGAAATTGAATTATTCATTCCAAATACGATAAGAGATATGGGAGAAACTCGTTTTATCGATCAGTATCTTCTTGATTGCAAAGAGATGTGTTCAGATTTTGAACCACTTGGTAAGAGTAGTTTATTTACTATTCTTGATACTTGTAAAGCATCAACAAGAAAGTCTTTACAAGGTATTAATTACTTTGCAGCTGAAGCTGGAGAAGCATTTGATGGTTTACGAAAAATGATTGAAGATAAAGTTGCTCTTTGTAGTGATAGTGAACGACTTATTGAGAATTTGAAACGTGCTCGATTTTATTTGAAATCTGATTATAAAGTGCACGTAACGAGATCAAGCAA